ACAGTGAGCCTGGTTAATATCTAAGACCACACACGGAGTTACATTTTTTTTTTCTGGTGATGAGAACTTTTAAGATCTACTCTCTTAGCAACTTTCAACTGTACGATACAGTATTATCACCTATAGTCACTCGTTCTGCTGTCGCTGGGACTTGGTTAACTTTCACCTGGGCGTTAATGAATAGGGTGGCTATGGACATTTGGCCCGTGCCTTTTGGTGACCATATGTGACTTTCTGTAGATAAATACCCAACTGTGGAACTGCTGGGTTATCAGGAATCCCCAGATATTAGCTATCTTTTGCCAAAGGGCACTCACTAATTCAACCCCCACTAGAGCTGGGGTGGGGGGCGGGGCAGGGGTTTCATACAGCTAAACTTATTCCGACCCAAAGGCTCTCCTTTATTCAGCAAAGATGCATTGCTCGAAGCTTGTTATTTAAAATGTCCCATCTGTTTAATGAGAAATAGGACATTTATATAGTGTCAGAGTACCTCTCCTCAGATGATGGGATTACAGGCCACTAAGGGCCACAGCTGCCTCCCTCCCTGGACCCTGCTTTTGGCCATACTGGAGGCCATGCCCCCCACCCTGGGGGTGACCTGAGACTAGGATACGGAGGTCCACTCCCTCTTTGTATTAACTGGCGAGTCATTTATTTGGAGAACACAGAAAAGCCTCCATCCAGCATTCCCAGCCCCGGACATACACCTGGAAAGATGGGAAGCTGCGCCCCAGCGGGTACCCGCAGGCAGAGTTCACAGCAGGACTATGCACCGCAGCCCAAACATGGGAACAGCCCGAGCGTCCATCGCCGGCCAGCAGGTCTGGCTTTGTGAACGCAGGACCCGGGCTTGAAGGGGTTCTCGGTCCTGAAATTCTCCTAATTTTGAAACAAGGGCCCTGAGGTTTTCTTTTGGAACCGGCTCCCACCTAGCTGGATGGGTCGCAGCTGGTGCCAGACCGGAAAGCGCTGGCCTTCCGTCAGGGCAAGGGCTGGCCGCTCCGTGCCTCGGTTTCCCCATTTAGAACCGGGAGGATGACAGGACCTTCCCCGGGGAGATGCGCGGTAAACCCAGCAGGTGGGTGGGACAGCGAGAGAGCGGGATCGAGTGGCCCCAACCAGACACGGCGGGCACAACGTCCAGCTGTGCCTGCAGCCTCGACCAGGGCCCCTTCCAGTACCGACCTCCCAAATCCGGCTTCCCTCCTCCGCTGCCACTTAGTCCAGCCCCCATCGTCGCCCCTCGGGACCAGCGCAGTCCCCTCCGCCCTGGTCGCCGGCACCCGCTCTCGTCGCCACGTGTCCTCCCCAGCAGCAGCCACCAGAGGGCGCCCGTGAGCACTCGAGTCATGTTCTGCTCCCGCCCTTTTCCAGTCTGTCCTCCCAGCAGTGGACACCAGAGGGCGCCCGTGAGCGCCGAGTCGGGTCCTGTATCTCCCTTCCCGTCTGTCCCCACAAGGAGCCACCAGAGGGCACCCGTGCGCACCGGAGTCAGACCCTGCATCGCAGTTCCTCAGTCTGTCCTTCCGGTGAGAGCCACCAGAGGTCGCCCGTGAGCACCCGAGTCAGCCCACCGGCCTCCCGGGCTCCCACCGTCCTCTGTGTAAAAGCCCAAGGCGTCCGCGCGCCCACAAGGCAGGGCCTGCACGCCCTCCCCCCACGCCCTCCCCTGCCCCTGCTCTCCCCGCTCCAGCCCCACGGCCTCTCTGTTCCTCCGCCACGCAGACTAGACTCTGTCCTGCCCCGGGCCTTGTCACCCGCTGTGCCCTCTGCCGGAGACCTCAGGCCACAGCACCGTGCCCTCGTGTCTTCCCGGGTCCCCCTCTGCACCCCCTTCTCAGAGAGGCCTTCCCTGAAAAGCCTGCCTGCAGTGGCCACGGCTGCCCCTCATCCCACTTCCTGCTGTGCTTCCCTTCACAGGTGAAGTCACGGTGGCACGTCCTGGCCACCCCCTCTGGCCGCCCCCTCCAGCTGTGTCCGCAGTGCCCAGGACGGCGCCTGGCACACGGGGCCCTCAAGGCAGATCCTGCCGGCGACGAGTAAATAAAACCGGAGGATGGGGAGACGTCGGAACGTCTGTGGCCGCTGGTGGCGTGTAAAACGGGGCGGCCGCTGTGGGAAGCAGCGTGGAGGCGCCTCAAAGTGTTAGACTTTCCCTGACCCGGCAACTCCACTTCTGAGTATTTACCCGAAAGAAGCGAAAGCAGAGACTCAGCGATAATTGCACACAGCAGCGTTATCCCCAACAGCCGCGTGGGAACACCCCGAGTCCGCGGACAGGTGACCGACACTGTGTGGGCCGTCCAGACGACTCTCAGCCTCCAAAAGGTAGGACACGGACACCTGCCACAGCATGCACGAACCTGAGGACATCATGCTTGGGGACAGAAGCCAGACCCCAAAAGACAAACACTGGGATCCCACTCACAGGAGGTCTCCAGAGTCAGACTCACAGAGTGGACGGTGGAGCCAGGGGCTGGGAGAGGGGAGGGAGGGAGGGAGGGCGTAATGGGACAGTGTCCGTGCGGGACAAGGAACTCCCGGAGATAGAGGGTGGGGACGCCGCCCAGCCCGCACTTAACTCCCCGGCTTACGGAAAGGTGGGGGCACTGGCCTCCCAACAGCATCTCCGACTGTGAGCGTGGGCACGTTGGTCCCCTGTCCCAAGGAGCTGGTGCCTCCAGCCCTCAAGGCAGATCAACTTGAAATCATGGGCCAGGTAAGGATCTCGGAGCCCGGGGTGGGAGGCCTCCCGGGGAAGTGTGGCTTCCCTGAGCTCAGACCACAGCCCGAAGATGCCAGGGCCAGACCAGGCCCCAGGGAGCCTTCAGGGCCCCTCAGCTGCACGCCACCATCCCCCCCGCCCTGTAGCCAGCAACAGAAAATAAGCCAGAGGGGCTGCAGCATTTAGGAACGAGATTTATTCCAATTTAAAACAATTCATCATTTCAGGAGAAAGATATGAAAAATCGATTTCCATCAGGCATCTCTGGATTGAGGGGTCAGGGCCCCGGCACGCTGAGCAGAGCCGCCCGCCCGCCTGCCCAGACGAGGCGGCCTCGGCCGCAGGAGGCTGGCATCGAGCTGATGGCACCCGAGCCCCCGAATGCGCAATAATACATGCATTTCAGATGACAAAAAGTTTAAAAACAGCATTTTTATATAATATTCTTATTTTAAATAGGTTAAGGTTCAGATGGTCTGACATCGGGACTGTGGAATATACAAGCACAGCTGGACAGTGTCTACCCCGCCGGCCAGCTCGGCCCGCACCGCCACCGGGGGCATTGGCACTAGGGTGTCTCTCTCGGAGACGGGCGCCCCGGGCGGCGGCCACACTGCTGGGTGGCCGGACACAGTGGGAGGAGGTGGGCGGTGGGCGTGGAGATGGGGTTCACTGGGGCGGACCTACCTCGCTGGCGGGGAGGGGCCGAGACCTCCCGCCCCAGCTGGCACTGGCACAGGCTGGCCTTGGATCCCCCATTCCGGGGCCGAGCCCTGGGGCTGTGACAGGGCCCACGGGGTTCCAGGAGGCCGGGCGGCACTCTGGCCAGGCTCAGGCTGCGGGACGCTTGGCACGCTGCCCCATCTCGGGGAGTTAATACTTTAGGTGCCCCACGTAACTCATGCCACCCCTGCAAAGGCCACCTCAGTTCCCTTCTGTGAGCTGGACCCTTGAGAGGCGCCAGGACCCTAGGTCCCTTCAGGCCCACCACCAACTCCCCCACCGAGGGTGTGGATTGGGGGTACGGTTCAACCCCTCTCAGACACATGGCACAAAAAAATCCTTTTGGAAAACTGGCCGGGGCTGGGGACTCCCAGCCCGCTCTGCCCTTGGACAGGGCCAGTCACCAGGAAGGGAGCTGCCCAGCTCCTGGCCCCGACCACCCTGCAGACACCAGCAGGCCGGCCACCCCCCCATGCCAGGTACGCCAGCGGCCGGCGGGGAAGAGGTGGGATTGGGTTGGATTTTTGAGTTGTTTTTTTTTGTATTCGTTAATGACCCCAAAAAGGAGCAGCCGGGGACAGCCACCGTGAGGCCAGGTGCAGTGGGTGGGACCAAGGCATCGCTGGCGTCTGTCTCCCCGTCTACACAAAACAAACAAAGCACTGTCGTGTTCAGTCTACGTCAGACTGAAAAGCCATCTCCACCCCGGCAGGGGCCGGTCCCCTGCTGCAGGTTCCCACCCTCAGTCCCTCTGCGAAGGGACTCAGACCTGGGGCTCTGGCTCAGTGCGAGGCTGGGGCCGTGGCTGGGGCCTGGGGGCCGCCCGGGGCCGGGGTACCAGCTGCAGACTCCTGCGCAGCCCTCGACGGCTCCGGGCAGAGTCCCCGCGGAGCTCTGGGCAGATCGGCGAGTGCGTGCAGCACCGCCACCAAGCCCAGCAGCAGTCGGCACCTCCTCCTCAACCTCTCGCTGCTTCTCGGGGACAGACCTGAGAATATTCTGAAAGAGTCCCCAGCCCACTGTCACTGTTCCCAAATTGGTTACAAAACAGAACGGAAGCAAAAGCGAATCCTACCAAGTGGGTCCCGCGGCTGCCAGGCCACGTGGGTGACCGCGGGCGCTGTCTGGCCCGGCCGGTGGGCACGGGCACCCAGTGTGCAGGGAATGGGCCCCAGGGGGCTCCCAGCAGGCAGATGGCCCTGGGGACACGGCCCAGAGGACCCCAGTCTGTGGCTGCCCGAGGCTGTGAGACGGGACCGGGCATTTCCTCCCCTGTCGGGGAGGCGACGAACTTTGATTTTCCTCAAAAAAAAGAAAAGATTAGGCACTTCCCAGGGTGGGCAACAGGGGGTGCCACCCACCCCCACTTCTTGGAGTCCAGTGAGCAAAAATTCGGCATCATCGTGAGGGTGTCAATAACTTAAAAGAGAAAGGAAGAGAAGCCAGTCCCCGCGCCCACGCCCCCTGTGGCCGGGCAGGGGGCCGGGCGCGGGCGGCCCTGTCCCACGGTGGCCCGAGGGAGCCTGGAGCGCGGCTCTCGCGTGTCTCATCTCCACTGGTCTCGTTTTTCTTTTTTTTCTTTTTCCACTTTTTTTTTTTTTTTTAGAAAAAGGTGAGCCACAGACGAGGCCGGAAAAACGCGGCCTGTGCCGCTGACAAAAGGTGGGCAGGTGCGCGAGGTGCAGAGGGAGATGCGCGTCCCCTGATGACTGCGAGATAAGAACCATTCGTTAAACACACGGGGAAAACTCAGCTGCTCTGCGGGCGGGGCCGGCTCATCGTCGCGCAGGAGGGGCCTGCGGGGCCGCTCACACCAGGTTGTACTCCTTCAGGTTGAGCTGCAGGATGGTGTCCTTGACGGCCGCGAAGACGAAGCGGATGTTCTCGGTGTCGGTGGCGCACGTGAAGTGCGAGTAGATGATCTTGTCGCTGTCGGGGTTCAGGTCCACGAACATCTTCAGGATGAACTCCCGGGCGGCCTGTGCGTCCCGTTGCGGCCCTGGGGGAGACGCGGGCAGTGAGCTGGGCGGTGGGGAGGGACAGGCCACCTGCCACGGGGCAGCTCCCCGCCCAGCTCCTGCGACGCCCACCACTCGTGCACGTGCCTGGCCGAGGTGCGGCCCGTGTGGGCCGTGCACGGGGCTCGGCACAGCCCTCAGCGCCCGCACCCCTGGGGCCGGCCCCGCCACCGCCTCGCTCCCCTCGGGAGCCTCCCCGCACCCACTGCCACACACAGACGTGTCCACGCACGTGCACGAGGGCCCACACCTGCACGCCCCCACAGCGGACCCCGCCATTCCCCCCCACGCCCGAGCAGCTGTCCAGCTGTCCAGCCACAGCGCCGCACAGAGGCTCCCGCCAACAATGTCCTTGCCTCTCGGTCCAAGCTACACAGGCCCTCGAGTCTCAGTCCCTAACATGTCACTGCTCCCTCCCACTCTCCCATGGGCCACCCTGTCCACAGCCCCAGCACCCCACCCACCCCCACTAGGCCTGCTCTGGTCTTCACAGCAAGAGCCCACGGCCCAGATCACAGGGCCCCCACCCACGGCCGGGTTGGGCTCTACAGGCAGCACCCCACTCTGAGATGTCCCGTGGGGGACCCTGGGTGTGACGCTCCTTCCGTGATCCTGCTCCTAATGAGCCTGCACAACACGGGCACCCGGCGTGGCCAGCCATCCTCAGAGACCTACAGGACGTCCACACGTGCTCCACAGAGCAGGGTGTGCACAGGGCAGGCGGGGCGGTCTGCGCAGCAGGCTGGGTCACCCTTTATTCCCAGCATCACACTCCTCTCTGTGGCTGGGCCACCGACCCCAGGGACACCTCGCTCAGGTGGGTAATGGGGGACAGGCATGCCTAGCACTCTCCTGCTGCCCCTCCCGCGAATGAGGCTCCTTCCCCTGGGGACACGGGCCCGCGTGTGGGCCCTTGGATCCGCCCTCCTGGCCGGCACGCGAGGGCGTCAAGGCCCGGCGAGGGTGAGGGGCACGCTGGGGGCTCCCGAGCTCACCGTCGAACTCGGGGAAGTAGTCCACCAGGTGGGAGCACAGGATCTTGTCCTCCAGCAGGTCCTTCTTGTTGAGGAAGAGAATGACGGACGAGTTCTGGAACCAGGGGTAGGTGATGATGGTCCGGAACAGCGCCTTGCTCTCCTCCATGCGGTTCTGCGGGCGAGGCCTGGCCTGGTGAGGCCCCCGAGGGCTGGGACGGCGGTGGGGCACCCTCCCCCGCCCGGGGCCCCCCTCACCTCGTTGTCCGACTCCACGAGGACCTGGTCGTATTCGCTCAGGGCCACAAGGAACATGATGGACGTCACGTTCTCGAAGCAGTGGATCCACTTCCTCCGCTCGGACCGCTGTCCTCCCACGTCCACCATCCTGCAGGGACACCACGGGGCCCGGCAGCTGTGAGGTCTCCAAGGGCCCCGCACCTGCGGGAGCCCAGACGGCACGGCGCAGGCCACAGGCCCGCCCCCTGAGTGTGACTGACGGGAGCCCTCGGCCCGAAGCGCAGTGACAGGCGCTCGTGCTGGGCGTGAGCTGCAGGCCCTGGACTGGCCCGTCTCAGACCCCAGAGTCCACGTCTGGATGCGCCCTCCCCTCACCGGTCAACGTGCAGCCCACGGGGGCGCCTAGGCGACGGGCCCGCGTCAGCCACTGCCAGGGGACCGGGACAGCTGCACAGAGTGTGCCCTCCCACTGGGTGTGAAGCTCGCTGCCCGGGCGAGCAGCAGGTGGGGAGCCACAGGCGGGGCTGGGGCGGCACCGGGCACAGGCCCAACCACGGGGCCTTCTCTCCGCCTGTGCGTTCCCCAGCGCTTCGACGACGAGGGAAGACGCTTTATCTTGAAAAAGAAAGACGAGGCAGCAGGAGACCCTTGTCCTCAAGCCCCCCAACCCGGCCTGGAGAAGGCCCAGGGTCCCCACGGCTGGGCCCCGTCTGCACTGCCGTGAGAAGGCAGGGCTCAGACAGAAACGGCTGGGACACAGGCTGTCCCCTGGCAGGGGCTGCGCCAAGGAGACGCCAGCAAGCACAGGTGGACCGTGAAAGGGCAGGACGGTGGCGACAGGCTGAGGGCCTGCTCGCGGGCGCCAGGCCCATGCGGGCAGCTGCCGCCGGTCTGGGGAACAGCAGGGCATGGAGTTGGGGGCCACAGCCTCACTGGCGCATGAGCCTCCGCGGTACAACCGAGCCAGAACCCGGATGCTCAGGCACCAGGTCGCGGCACAAGGTGCTCGGGGACCGGGCTCGGTCCACACACCAGGGCCACCCTTCAGTGACATCCAAGCAGCGATCGGGGTCAGACCAGGACCTCGGCGCCAGGGCCCCTGGCCAGCCTCATGGGAGCACGCGACCAGACAAGGGCACGACCGGACAAGGGCACAGCTGGGTGGGGGGCCCCAGGATCCCCAGCGCCGTGCCCCGCCCCCCGCCCCCTTGCTCTGGCACTCCAGACCACTGCCACTCCCACAGGAACCAGTACCCTCCTCCCACCTGGCCCCATCGCAGAGGCCCCCACCAGGCCACGTGCCCCGCTGCCCCCAGCCAGCCCCCGACAGCCACTGGGGCCTGGCTCACTCTGAAACTCGGTGGCCATTACTTGCCCATAAGCCCCGGCCTGATCAGACCTGAGGGCAAGGACCAGGACCCAGGGGCCTCACTGCACCCCCCATGGACCCCAGGTCTGGGGAGCAGAGGCCTCATGGCCGCTCCCTCGGGAAGCCCGGGCGTCACACCTGAACACGATGCTCTCCAGGTCGAAGGGGTACTCGATGATGCCGGTGGTGGGCACGCGGACACGCAGCACATCCTGCTGCGTGGGCAAGTAGCTCGAGCTGGCGATGCGGTCCACGTCCGTCAGGTAGCTGTGGCGGAGCAGGCACAGCATGGGGCCACCCAGCCCCCAGCAGTTCCCCCATGGGGCCAGGACTGCTAGGGACAAACTGGGACACGGCTCCCCACCCCGCCCCGGGCAGCAAGGCGCAGGCCATTCTCTGGTTGTCACGGGGCAGAAACGACACTGGCCAGGGGAAGCCTCGGGGCTGTCTCACGTGGCCGCCCCAGGACGGGCTCTGGAGAAAGGGGACCAGAGAGGCTGCTGGGCTCTTTGGAAATAAACTTACTACTTCAGGGTCCCCCGAGACCCATAGAAGAGCTGTGGCCACGAGAGAAATCTGCACTGCGGCCCGCGGCGTCCCTGACCAAGCCCGCCTTTACCCAGCTGGCCTGGTTTCCGACGGTGGCGCCCAGGGCCCAGCCCCCCAGGACCCGCGCGGCGCCCACTCACTATCTGGCGGAGTCTGAGAGCTGGTACTCGCGCCTGCGGTCATAGCACTCCTGGATGCCGGGGTCGTTCCACAGGGTCTTGATGGCGTTCACGTACCGGTGCTCGAACGTCGTCACCTTCTCCACATCCACGTCCCGGATCAGGAGCGCATTGGCCTGGGAGGGCGGGAGGGGAGGCCACGGGCTCACCAGGGGCCCAGATGCTCAGGACCTGGCCGACCAGAGCGGGAACTGTGACTCCGGTTCCACGTAAACACGCGAGAGAAAGCAGCGAGGGTGACGAGCCGTGACCGTCCCCCGGGGCGAGGTCCCAGAGCAAACCCAAGATCCAGGCAGCTCCCCAGAGCAGGGCCTGCTCAGCCGCCTCCGCTGGAGCGGCTTCTGGGGCGGGGCGGCGCGTGCCCACAGAGCTGTATGCACGGGCTGCGGTTCGTCCCTGTCCTGGGCGCCTATGATGCAACTGCGAACTGGACTCCGACTGGGCCTCAGCTGGGAGAGGCCCAACACCGAGACCCAGAGGGCCAGGACTCAGGGATGGTGGGGGCCCCGATCCTCTGTGACCTGGGGGTAAACGAAGGAACACGCCCACTGGTGACACGGCAGAGGTCTGGCTGACCTTCGTAAGCCTTGAAGCAAATGGGCCGATTTAGGCCATGTGTGGACGGACACGGACTCCAGGCCACGTGTGTGAGAAGCAGCAAGAACAGATCTATGAAAGTGAAGCCATGGGGGCCACCGGGGCACACTGGTGGGGCAACCACTGGGGAGAGCGGCTGTCACCGTGTGACCTCAAATTCTCCGCTGCTAAGTACACGCCCAGAAGTGAGAAAAGGTATTGCAAGTAACTTGTTTATGAATGTCACAGCTCCAAGATTCACAATGGCCAAAGAATGGGGACAACCAAATGTCCAATGATGGGTGACAGAACAGGTGGGGCCACAGAGACGGGAAGTGGGTTCGTGGTCACCAGGGGCTGGGAGGGCGAGGGGTGTGACGGTGATGGCTGTCCACGGGGACGGGGCTCCCTTGGCCGAGAGGAGAATGTTCTGGGCCTAGACAGAGGTGGCACAGGACTCTGAACATGTGCAAAGTGAGAGAGTCACACGCCTCCAACGTGCGGTTTGCACGGTGCGGGAACCCCCTCAACAGAGCCGCTGCGAGAGACAGAGGGGTGCTGCCCGGGGTCGCCCGGGGTCAGCTATGGCATGCGAAGCGCCTGGTAGCACCGGGCCCTCCGAGGGGTCGGATCCAGGGCCCACACCGCCCACCCAGGGCAGCCACGCTGCTGGCCCGCGTCCCTGACCGTCCGCAGACTCGGGGTGCTGAGGGCCACTGGACAGGGAGGTCGGGGCTCAACCAGGACGTGCGGGCACAGAAGGCAGGCCGGTGCCGTAGGGCTGCGCCCCGGCGTCCCAGCCGCCCGCCTCACCTTGTTCTGCTCGCACTTGTACAGAATCTTCAGGGTGTCCATGGCCCGGATCATGGCCTGCATGGCGGTGAAGATGTTCTGGTAGACCAGCTTGGTGAAGCCGCGCTTGTCCTCCTCGGAGTAGCCGGTGCCGTGGATGATGCGCATCTGCTTGATGAACGTGCTCTTCCCGCTCTCGCCCGTGCCTGCCGCACCCGACACGCCCGGTGAGACCGCAGGGCCGGCCGTGGGCAGCACGCAGCACCCCCCGTCCCGGGACGCCCGCTCCCGCCCCAGGTGGCTCACCAGCCCTCCAAGGGGGCGTGGGACACACCTGGCCAGCAGCCGCCACTCTCTGAAGCCCGTCCCCAAGTTTTACCTGTCATCCTCCCACACACACCCGTCCTACACAAGAGGAGACAGGCTCAGAGAAAGGATGACATCTGCAGGGCATGCGACAGGCGTCGGTCCCCCCAGGCACCCTGCCGGTCACAGTGGCAGGAGGTGAGCAGCGTCTGAATTTACCAGGGCTGCAGACAGGACAGAGGCTGGCGAAGGTTACACGTGTCTCCACCAGACACTGCCACCTCCCTACCCAGTCGCCCACTAGTCACCCCCACGCCCCGGACCCAGTCTAGTCT